CCACACCCCACCCCCGCTCTGGCCACTCACCACCCCCCTTGGCCCCTGCACAGGCTGACATGCCCTGGGCCCCGCACACCCCTAGAAATGGCTCTAAAGGTATTTATTACTTGTATAAGAAAAGAGATACAGCAGCAGTTTGAAAACCCCAGCACTTCAGTTTTTTATTCTCTTCCTACTTAGCACATTAGCAGATTCACCTGTTTCTAGGGAGTGGCCCCCAAACTGAGTAAATCATTAAACAAAATCAAACAGAAATGTATGGAAAGGTCAGTAAGATCAATGCAAACCTCTCCACACCACCCTTTAAGCAAATAAACTATGTAAACCTACTTCAGATACAACAGGGGCACACACACTCTCACGCACAAATATATGATGTAGCCACAAATAGAAGCAGGCACTTGAGTTTTCCAATACACATACGGATTTGCATGCATGTGCTCCCATGGACAGACACAAGCATTCTTCATGGAAACACAGGAATGGAAGAGACTTCCTGAATCATCAAAATAAGTGCCATGCTGTCACTAGGCATCCATGCGGCATAACCCCAGCCATACAATTTACAATGCTCCATCTTACAGCAAATTGATTTGTTTGCTTCACAGAGACGCACACAATTAAAAAGAACATTTTCAAGGAAATATGTGGATAAGCCCAGAGAAACACACCCACATAGATGCAGACTTGTGCCTAAATGGAGATGTATTTTTACTCTCACAGACATATGCAAAGACAAATTCAGAGGGGTACCTTAGACACAAAGTGCCAAATCCTATTATACCTTTACGTTCCTAAGTGGCCCTTACATAGCCAGGTAAGTGCAATATTTGACATTTACACTGAAATTAAATTCTGTTTTCACCTCTGTAGCTATACTTGTCCCATGTTTCCCTTCTGAATATGCTCACTAGACTCCATTATGGCTGTGTAGGCCTCAGGATGGAATAGAATCACACAAGGCCATATGTAACTCCATGTAAGTACCTGAGATTTTAATTAGAAAAAACACAACTAGCAACTGTTTGATACTGGATGAAAAGGAGGAGTAAGAAGGCAGGGAGGACAGAGAGCTCTTCCCTCTTTTAGCTCAATAGCTTCTCCTTTCTCCATTTTATTGCAGGCAAGAACACACATATCTGGGTGATCCTTTTATACCACAGTTCAAAAAAAGGATCTAAAATCTGCATGAGTGCCAAAAACAGCATTTAAGTGGCTACCTAGGTACTACTTAGTAATGGAAAGGTTAATTCAGATGAGTCCATTTAAATTTTACAAAATCATCCCTCCTGCAAAATCAGACCATGCTGGGGAAGAAATCCAGGACACTACTTCAGTTTTAAAAAAATGGGATAATCTTCTGAAATGCCTCTCTGTATTATTTTCTGTGTCAAGACCACATTGATTCTAATAGTTGGCACTTCACGTGGGCCACTTGTCTGACCTTGGCAGTATTGCAGTTCCTATCTTCCTAAGTTCCTACACATCATCCCCATTTTACAGCCAGGAGGATCAAAAGAGGTTGTATGGAATTTAGCAGTTCCCAATTCCCAGTTGCCTGTTTAATATATTGCCTTG